CTGTCTATGGTCCTCACCATTTGTAGCAGAATGTTTAACAATTTACCTTCTGTCCTTCAGCTGTACCACTCCTTTACAACACCCTTCAGCTGTACCACTCCTTTACAACACCCTTCAGCTGTATCACTGCTTTATAACACCCTTCAGCTGTATCACTCCTTTACAACACCCTTCAGCTGTACCACTCCTTTACAACACCCTTCAGCTGTACCACTCCTTTACAACACCCTTCAGCTGTATCACTGCTTTATAACACCCTTCAGCTGTACCACTCCTTTACAACACCCTTCAGCTGTACCACTCCTTTACAACACCCTTCAGCTGTACCACTCCTTTACAACACCCTTCAGCTGTACCACTCCTTTACAACACCCTTCAGCTGTATCACTCCTTTACAACACAACGCTCGCGTTACTGATGTTGTATGAGGGTTACACTGAGTGTCCGGGGCGCTCGGAGCGTGGCTGGCCTGGCGCTGTAGGCAGCAGCAGTGCAGAGCAGCTGCAGCAGCTGAACCCTCCTGCTTTACAGATCAGGCTTTTCCCACTCACAGCCTTTCTTTTCCCTGAGAGGTTTTGTCCATCCAGCATTTAAGGATGCCTGTGTTTGCTGTAACTTACTAACCCCATAGCAGTTCCCTCAGCAGTAACTGCTCCTTGGCCTATTTTTACACACAGGCTTCCTCTCACACCATCCCCTGCATGCAAACTAAGCACAGTGGTGCTGGGAGCAAGAGTGCAAGTTGTGAGTGAACTGTGCTGTGTCTGCCTGTCATGTTCGAGCAGCCTTAACATCTCAGGAGCAACAGGCGCTGTTGTGTGGCTTCGTGGGTTGTTTTTTTCCTCTTAAACCAGTATCCATTACTGGCTCATAGTCTGAGTGGTCAGGACTGATGTAGCAACTTTGTTTAATCCTACAGCCACGAGCCTGTTTCTTTTATAAAACAATGGTTTGTTAAATTCTGATTCTTATTTCACCATTTTCTATATAGGAAAGCAATGTTCTGACTTGCAGCGCTGCAGTTCTCTTACAGGATTCACCTTGCCTATTTAACACACAGCAGCCAGAATTTTTGTCACTCTACAGTCTTTGCAAATCCACTACAGATTAAAAACTGTAAAGTATATTTCAGTTTATAGATGTCTCTATGTGATCACAGTTTAGTTTAATTTTCCAGTATAACTTAATGTCTCTTTGGTTCCTTCTATGAAAAGAAGTAGTTCATCCAGTTTACCTCTATTGTAATACCAGTTGCTACATCATAATTTTAAATTCATTAGTTAAATTAATTGTAGTGAATGAAGCAGTTCACTTACCTAATGTTGTATGCAAGTACAGGAGACACCAGAGCCATTAGAATAATGTAACAGTACTACTGCTGATGTAACCAAAAGGAAAGTGTCTGAATCATACTAATGGAAGTGGCTTTTTGGTTTTGTTTTGTTTTGTTTTGTTTTTAAAGGTGCAGAACGTGTCATTACATTGAAAATGGAAATTCCTGGATCCATGCCACCTCTTATTCAGGAAATGTTGGAGAACTCTGAAGGACATGAACCACTGACACCAACCTCAAATGGAAATACTGCAGAACACAGTCCCAGTATCTCACCTAGTTCAGTGGATAACAGCAGTGTCAGTCAATCCCCGATGGTGCAATAAGACATTTTCCAGCTACTTCAGACATTCCTAATATCTTATGTACAGGGATGAAAAGCAAGAAAAACATTTTTACTGCTGCTTAGTTTCTGGACTTAATATATATATCTATATATGTGTATATATATAGATAAAAACTCAACAAGGACCAAGAAATTTTCATATGTATCGATATATACTCCTTGCTGTTTTAAACTCTTAAAAACTAGAAAATGCAAACTTTTGAAACTCTAAATCAGCCATTTCATGCAAAAAAAAAAAAAATAGTTAAGCTTCTGTTTTCTCCTCTGAACATTCAAGATTGCATGGTGACAAGACAGATCTCAAACTTTAAATTCTGGTTGCATTTCTGATGACTTTGTACATACAAATGTATGGCTCTACTTTCTATACTGGATGTTTGGTGCTTTCCTTTTGTCTCTCATACCTAAAATGATCAAGATACCAACCATATGAAATGGACTACTGTACACATCCAGAAAATGAAGTTTAAAGAACCGTCTGATATAGTTTAATATGAAAACTTGTCTTTGATGCCCTCAGTTTGCATCTCCTTGCTTGTAAAAAGTACACAAAAATTCCCTGCACTAGCAGAAAAAAACATCAGTTTCAGCATTAACTGCCAGATCAGTTATTCCAATGTAATTTTTTTCCACTGTTAATGTCACTTTAAAATTTAAAGAAGTGGTTTCTTACCTGGCTGGTGACCTAGCTGCACAATTAACTGCTCATTTCTACAGTAACAGTAGCCTCCAAGGCAGAAACACTTTTCAGTGTTACCATGTTTTTGTTTACTCGTTCACAAGCCATTAGGGAAAACTTCCTGGGATGATAACCAGCAGACTCATCCACAGCTTCTGAATCAGCAAGTCTAGGGTAATTCCTTAAGAATCAGCTGCCAGGAATCAGCTGGGTTATCTCGCCTTCCAGGTGCTAGGGAAGTACAGCTCAGACTTACAGAAACACAAGGAGAGAATCTGCCTTCTTGGCCTTGTTAAATCACCATGAAGCAGAGTAAAAACTGTGGTAGGATGGTTAACAGATTTAAAGTGTCAGTTTCTTAGGTTTCATTTAAAGCACTAGTGGATTTTTTTTTATATATATATATATTCTAGCAAGTCTGTGATGTACTTTCACTGGCTCTGTTTGTACATTGAGATTGTTTAACAATGCTTTCTATGTTCATATACTGTTTACCTTTTTCCATGGAGTCTCCTGGCAAAGAATAAAATATATTTATTTTAAAAAAAACCCAACTGTATAGAAGTAGTCCCTCTACTCCAACTTTTACACACACACACACACACACAGAGAGAGTAGTTTTCCATTTTTTTAATGTTTAAACTTCATTTCAAAAAGCAGGTTTGCTGTTTGCAACCATGACAATTAAAATGTGCTTTAGCACAGCTGTCTAGAACATCTCTACAAGCCAGTCAGACAAATACATGACATTTCAATGAGTAAAAAAGACCATAAAACTGTAGGTGTAAGAACAAAATGTTAAAATGCCTACACACAATAATAAAAACCATCAATTACATTATCACATAAAATAAGTCAAATGTACAAAAGTTTGCGACAGAAGGGACAAAAGGACAACACAAGATATTTGTTGGAAAACATTTGTGTGCTCTTTGGGCACTTAATTAAACATATCAAAATCATCATCTTCATCAGACTCTGCAAAATATTTAACTTCTTTTCTAGCCCGACCTGTCCGTGGCTTTGGGGCAGTTTCGGAGGCAAAGCCCGACTGAAAGATTTCCACATCAGAATCCTGGTCAAAAGCAGCCTTCTTGGCTTTCTGCAGGAAAGACAAGACAAGTCAGTTGTGATGCTGTGTACATTTTCCCTTTTAATATCCAGAACTGAAGGAAACCTTCTCTAACATTTAATTTCTAAACACACTATTATATTAGCAACCTATAAGAAGAACATGTACCTTGTATGTAGAGTAATCCATTAGGTTCTTTTAACAAGGAGAAAAGAGCAGAGATGCAACTGACCTTGCTTGGTGTTGATTTAGGTGTTTTCTTCCCAGGGTTGTATTCACCTTCATTTTCTGAACTGGATGCTTTCCTTTTCTTCACCCCTCTACCTTTTCCTGCGTGAGAGAATATGATTTAACTTTGTTTTCTTTTTCTTTTCCTTTTTTTTTTTTAAAAAAAACTCCAGAGTTCAGCAAAGTAGAGAAAACCCAGTGAAATTACTTCAGTATGTCTACATGTTAAAGTTCAAATTTAGTTTACAATTCATGCTTCTTCACATGAACAAAATACAATATAGTTTATTTTCTCAGTTTTAAATCTTTTATACTTCTTCCAAAGTTACCATTCACCCGAGCAATTCAAGTTGTTGGTTCAAGACAGGGACAAACTTCATTAAATCAATGACTTCTAGACTTCTGAAGCACTACAAGTCTTTGGTCACCTTCTGTACTGATTACACAGCATTAATTCACCTTTACTATTTAGTCAATTTACTGTTAACCTCAGCTATCAACACTGGCACATCCTGTACAGCTTTCTCTGGATTACCCTGCTTGGCTGCTGGCTTGTGAGGCCTCTGACAACTGAACACTGGGATACCAAATAATTGGATTTAAAAAGACAAAAATTGCTACATACTAGAATTACTACCAGAATTTTACTGTCTTGGAAAAAGCTGAGATCAAAGAAAATAAGCAGCATCCCAATGAACAAAAACCAGTAGAACCAATGAACAAAAAGAAAAAAAAAAGGCTGGGGGAGTGGGGATGTGTGGAGCTACTAAATACATTCCCATGAGTGAAGGTCAGGTAAATGTTCATGCATTGCTTGTCAAGCCAGTACACTGCATTAGCACAGGAAAAGCTCACAGCTGAGTACTCTACTGGTGATTAATTTACTAATAAATCAATGCAGTTTTAATTCTAGCAGCACCAGTTCTGCTTCCTTATAAAAAAATGACTGTGAACCTGTGTTACACGGAGCACAGATGTGAGCGCTGAGCACCACAGCACCACAGCTCTTACCTTTGGGTGCTGCCGTCTTCTTTGGAATGCCAAATTCTGAATCCGAGTCAGAGTTTACAGTTTCCACCTTCTTGGCCTTGGGAGCTCTTTTAAGTTTAGGGGGCACATCTAGTTTTGCTGTGAGAAGGTAGAGATACCAAAGACGTTAAATTCACATATTAGTTAGAAGTATTAAATCTTATTAGATACTCCAGTTGCAGCATAAATCGCAGCTGTTAGAACAAGATGAGCAGTTTCTGCACTTGGGGAAAACAGACCTCAGCTTTTATGCTAAAACTGCATGGAATAAACAAACAGGAAGTTTCCTTTGTCCTACTTTGAAATCTATCAGTGCATTCAGTAAGTTCCAGTGGTTTTTATTAAATAGTTTTCCATCTTTTTGAGCACAAAACAGGTTACCAGCAATTAAAGCAGCAGCAAACGTTCTCCAGGTTGGATACTTGAAACATGTTTAGCTGTGTTACAGCGTTAACAGACACAGCTTGCTGCTTGGGACAGTTTTGCCGTCACAGTAGTACAACTGCAGGACAACCTTCCCCATGATTATTGCAGGAGTTTGAGAGACAGTGCATCTGATGTTGTTTTCTGCCAATCTCGGTGAAAAGGAGCTTCAGAAAAAGCAGAAAAGACAGGAAGGGGCCATATCTGTGGACTTCCTACAGCATTCCAATGACTGCTATGCAATTAGTCTTGCCATCGTTAACAGACAGCCGTTGGTATGTGCACAGAATGGATGACAACAATATAGAGTCACAGAATTGTTTAGGTTGGAAAAGACTCCTAAGATCATCAGATAATGTGTTCTATATGCCTAAAGATGAGTCAGTCTTCTGCAGATACACTACTGACCTACAACTCTGGCAGCAACACATACCTCAAAGATGATGAGACACATGTAAAAACCACTCCAGATATCAGGAACATGGACCTATGTGAGAACTCGAGCTTTCATTTACGGTATCACTAGGGGAATGTGTTCAGACAACAAGAGAGTATCATCTCCACAAACTTTTTGGCTATGATGTCTTAAACTGCTACCCACCAAAGAGTCACTGCACAAAGATGTCTTTCCAGCTTTTTGTGAAAATACCTACCAGGTAGTCCAAGTATCAGATCCTGACAATACAAAAAATAAAGTCACCTTTGGCATCATGGATGGGGGAAAAAAAAAATGGTCTTGGCTATGGCAGCATTTCAGATAAGACTTATGGAGGGAAGCAACAATGCTTAGGATGGGAGTTGGGAACCATATTTGAAAACAACTTTAAACAGGTCTCTCTCTCTCTATCTCAGCTGTGGAAAAAAAAAGCTGTACTAGCATAAAGTAAAACTAAGACACAAAGACCTAAAAGCCTGGACAAAGTACACAGCAACTGAAAGCAGAGGAATACTTTCTAGAAGCATCACCAAAAGTAAGTAAGTGGCTAATTATCAGTAAAGGAGGGGGCGGTGTTACCTGGAGGTACATGATTTTAGGTCCCATAAGGCAACAAAGTCCTTCATACAGGAAAAAAACCTGTATTAAAATTACCTATATTACCAGCATAAGAAACATAGACTAGGGGGCAGGGAAGGGAAAGATTCAGAAGTTTCAGCGAGTTGAAGATGACAAACAGAAATTGTGACCAAGTGATCCTAGCAAAAGGGATCCATTTTAGATGTAGGTGACATTCAACATCAGAAGCTGAGGTTTAGAAGTCCTCCTACAGGACTGTGTACATTTTGGCCAGGAAATTGTGCCTTGCACGGTTCTTCATGCTGTTAATGTGAAATCTGCACACCAGACAGAAGCCAAGTACGTGCCATTGACCAGTACTACCCAGCACATATACCATGAGATGTAACTATCTTCACTGGCCCCGAGTCCTCCGGTTTGTTAACTGATAAAGTAGGAGACTTCTTACTGACAAAAAACTGGGGAGAAGGAAAGAAATGGGGAATGGAAGAGGCATGACACACTGCCACACACACTAGACTTGTTCGTCCCTTTAAACTGAGCCCGTCATCACTGGTCATCTCCTGTGAAGTGTGCCTACAGATTACCAAGTCCAAAGCACAGCAAACCTCTTGTTATCTGGTGGCTAAAGTAATAGTGTCCATGGCTTCCAGAATGTGCATCTCCCTTTGTACTAACTCCAGAGGGATTCTGAACCACTACCTTGGCTTATATATCTAAGCCTGCACAAATGGGAAGGATCTCTGACAGCAACTAGACCACAATCAACTCAAACAAGCTCTCCACTAAGTATCATGACATGCAATGGAAGTCTGCAGTGGGGTCAACATACATATCCTCTCAAGAAGCCCGGGTTTTTGGGAGAAAGTCCAGGAATGGTACCAGGCCTACAGCTGATGCAAAGGGTATGTCTCACTGCTAGAATCAGTGGCTTGGTTCACTGGGTGAGGTTGGTTCCGGTTCAAGGTGAGCAGCTGCTTATAATCAGAGTAAGACTGCTTTGCAGATTTCCCTTAGGCTTACTATAAAAGCACTAGAACCACAGACCCCTCACACTGTGCATGGAAAGCAAACTCAGAAGTCTCTTGATCGTCTGTAGCAAACACCAGAGGTCAAGAGATTTAATCTCAAATTTATCAGAGTCTGAAAAGCAGATAAGCAAGGCACAACAAATGTTCTTCAGTTTCAGCTTTCTATCCTTACAAAGCCAAGCTCTGAAGTCACAGAAAATCAAACCACTTACTTTGGAACAATTGTTTCAGCCACACACTAGGCATTCCCAGTATAAGGATGAGTGGATGAAATATTACAATACCAGAAAACAGGTTTTGAAGGGGCTGCTGATACAGGGCATGAAAAGGGACTTAGAATCAAAGAGACTACTAAAAGGATACCAGGTGAGCAATGAACTAAGCGTGCTAGGTTATCACTGCACTGTCAAACTGCAGTCATGAAACTGTGGTCATGTCTCATCTGTGCAAAGAAGAGATGAAAACTGGTGAAAACAACCTCTCATATTGTCATACACTGAGAGGGAGAGTGTGTCCCTAAGGCTACTTTGAAGGCAAAAAAAAAACTTTTGCTCAAAAGAGAGCCTATTTATACTTATTTTGTGAGTGTAAAGGTTAATTAGAAACTCAGAAACAGATCACAGCTGTATTTTAAGATTTCAGGTTAGGTTAATGACAACTCATCACATCCAGGCCTTCAAAAATCAGAGGGAAAAAGAGACTGAATGTTAAATTGCATCCATGCCTAGCTACTGCATACACAGTCCTCTCGTATTTACTGCAGTACAGATGTTTAACATAAAAGACACTTCTACTAGAGATCAGTTATTTCTCTAAAGAATCTTCATTTATTGTCTTATAGATCTTGACTAGTTGAAAGTCTCTGAGAAGCATTCACTCGTTCAAACAGTTTACAAATTAGATTAGACACAATGCAGCAAGAAAGAGATCAGAAATAGGGAAGCAGCAGGGGAGAGAATAAAAAGATGCAATTCACTGGTACCTAATATATAACACAAGATTATTTTGTTCCTCATTTTTAAGAGAGTAAGTTAACTACTGTAACTATCTGCTTTGTGGCAGATTTCCCTGAGATATCTTTTTGGGGAAGAATTAATATATTAAGTTCAGCAAGTTGGTCAAAATAAGTTTTAAAAAACAAAGGTGAAAACAGTGTCAATAATGCAGAGATAATTTCATTATTGCTGAGCAGTGCTTACACAGAGTCAAGGCCTTTTAGGCTGCTCACTTCATCCCACCAGCAAATAGTCTGGGGGTGCACAATAAGCTGGGAGGGGACAGAGCTGGGACAGCTGACCCCAAGTGACCAGAGGGATATTCCACACCATATGATGTCACGCTCAGCTTATAAAGCTGGGGAAAAGGAGAAGGAAGGGAGGACTTTCAGAGTGATGGTGTTTGTCTTCCCAAGAAACCATTATGCATGATGGAGCCCTGCTTCCCTGGAGATGGCTGAGCACCTGCCTGCTGATGGGAAGGAGTGAATTAATTCCTTATTTTGCTTTGCTTGCAAAGCTTTTGCTTTCCCTATTAAAGGGGAAAAAACTCCCTATCTCAACCCAGGAGTTTTCTCACTTCTACTCTTTCAGTTCTCTTCTCCATCCCACCAGGAGGGAGTAAAGTGAGCAGTTGTGTGGTGCTTATTTGCTGGCTGTTAAACCATGGTGTTAAACCATGACACCTACTTAGGACATAAATATTTCTTGGGGATTCCTCCTTTGCACTTGCTCTCCTTCCTTTAAGGTAAATAATTTAGATCCATTATAGAAGACTATCTTCAACCCCAAGGTCACCTTTTTTCACTTATTCCCTAAGGGTAAAAACCTCTCATTTGTTAAACTAATCAAAAGCTGAACACCAGCTCCATACATGGAAAGTACTAACTTTTGACACTACACTAGCCAGTGGAAAGAAAGAAAGAAAGAAAATATCATTAAGGAGCTGGAAGAAGTTCACATCCTACGTTGAATTTCACTGAGTTCAAAATAAATGAATGCAGTTCCCATTTTGAAGTTGTAAAGAGATAGTGCAAAGGTAGAGGAGATGCATTTTATATAAATGGATTGGCCTCCAGGACAATCCTATACATACCCTTTTTAGCAGCTACTGTTTTACTTGGAATTTTCTCTGTTTGTTTTGGGGCAAAAGATGATGAGAAAACAGGAGCAGAATCCTCTTCATCACTGTCCAATTTTGTTGTATCTGCAACCATGGAATACGTTTACAACAACATTCATTCACTGCATATTTTAAATCATCAATATTAATTGCAAACAAAATTAATCTCAAAAAAGTGCTTCTGATACTACAGCTAGGCTATAGATGTACTGTGACTTTCTTATCTATGATACAAGCTTTGTTCCTCTAAGGATCAGAATCTCCTTCCCCTTTCTCCTTTAGAGATCTGGGCATCCTTCTTCTTCTATGACTACTGTGTGAAGTGTGTGTATACCACAAACTACCTAATATATTCCATAATAGTTGTTACAAGATTAAACAGACCAGTGAAAACAAGCTCACCATCATCTGTCTTCTGAGAGTAAGATGGAAAAGAGAAGATGTTCCCAAAATCTTGATTTTTCTTGTCTTGAGATATTGTTTTGCTTCCAAACAGGAAAAAGAAATTATGTGAGTTGCAATAAGTACACCCTGAAGTAGGTAGACGTTATAATATCCATATGAGATTAAATCCTTGTTTTAGCACTACAAACATCTCTAGTGTTATTGTATATGCTTGCAGCAGTCAAAACCCTAAAATCACCATTCAGTCACGAACTTCAGGCATTTAAAATTAACAGAATTAATTTTTTTTCAGTGGTTCTGTATACAAGACTTGTATAAGATGGAAAGCTGAGAATCATACAAAATGCAGTTTAACAGAAGCTATTACTGACGGTGTACCATAATTTGGTAAGTCCTGTTTACCTCTGCATAGGTCAGTTATAAGGCTGAGATAACATGCACTTTCATTCCTCCCAAGAAATGAATACATTTTACTTTATATGGTGTATGTAGTGTAGTAACAGGTTGATGTTTCTCAGTTTTGTTCAGAGACTTTTGCATTCAAAGAAGTTATTAGTAAAGAAATACTGCTGTGTGACAGTACTTACTCTGGAGATGGCTTTGGTTTGGCTGGGGAGAAGTCATATTCATCTTTTTCTAAACTGTCTGAGGGAACAAACTCATCCTCCCTGTCATTTGTAACTGGAGAGGCTTTTACTTTGAGTTCATCCAAATCATTATTATTGTTGGCATCATCATCATCATCGGCATCATCATCTTCTTCTGAGAAGTCAAAAGTATACTTGGGCCTCTCAGCTAAAAACAAAAAAAATAAAAATCACATATATGCGCATTTCAAGATAGTTGTTTATGTTAATACATAAATAAATTAAAGTCACTAAACAATCCCTGCCTCAGAGTACATAAGACAAAAGACCAGGGGAAAAGAAATTGTTTGAGCCTGGAAGAATCAAGGGACATAATTTAAAGTGTTACCAAACATCTAACACCACCTGTGGCTTGCTCAGATACCTTCAGCTAGCGGCATTATGGAGACATCACTGTATAAGTACTTTTAAGGAATGAGAATCCTTCACTTAGAATTGAAGTTTTCTTGAATCTAACATTTGAACATTCTTCCTGATTGAGTGCTTGAAAAATTGATCAACAACTTTCCAAAAAAAAAATGTATTTTTCCTTAAACTATCAAATATTTCTATATTTTCAAAACTTTCAATCTCTGATATTTTTGCTTTTCATGGACTGTTCAGAATTTTCTTGTTAAATTTTTACTAGCCATTTGGGCTTTTGGGCCTTATTTGACAGTATAATTGCATTAGAGTAATTTTGTAGTTTACAATGGTATTATCTATTTCTTGTTTAATTCACTAGTTTTGTGAGTAATTTCTATTCTAGTGTTTAGAACAAAGGAAAAGATTTATAGACTAAGTTACAAAATCTTTCATATCAGCGCTTTAGTCTCTGGGCTTGACATTAGGAGGTTTTCTTTCACTAACTGCACAGTGTAGAAAATATAATGCAAGCTATCTGCAGGAGATAAAAGTCCTGAAGGAAGGCTATGGTCAAAGGAAAATGTAGGTTTGTAGTTGAAACTGTTAGTCACAATGTGCGATTCACAAAAGCTGGTACCTGCAGCTCTCCTAAGCAGAGAGTCTCTTGGAATAATCACGGGCTCATTCTCTTCTAAATCGCTTTCAGACTTGGATTCATCATCTGACCATGGGTTTCGTTTCTTCACTTTTTTTGCACTGGATTTTGCAGATGATGGTGTTCTTCTTACCCTAGTACCTGCCACAAGTTAAAGCATTTACTAAAGTCAGGGTGAAAAATATTTTAATCTTTTCTAATCTTTTATGATGCATATATTTAGCATAATTTTTTATCTTAAAAAGTTCTCCTTTAAATGTTGAAAATTTTCTTCTCCTGCCTGAAGAAAAATTTAAGGTGATTAAGTTATTTCACACAGAGCCCAACCTGCTGCTGCAAAAAGAAATTGTTTTATGACTGAAAAACATAAAAGTCTCTAACTTGAAGCTTTAGCTCCTCTGCAGTCACAATTCCATTTTTTTTAAAAGGTTGCTGGGGTTTTCCAGGAAAAGAAAAAGCAGTTTTCCATTATTCAGGGACCATGATCAGGAACAGTTACTGGAAAAATCCAATTAACATGGGAAGCAGAGGATCCCCTATTGGAAGGTAACAACGTGGTCAGTCAATCGCAGGGCAAGCTCAGGTCAAGCTGCCTAACTGGCTCTGGCTCAACACCAGCTAGGGTAGATTTGAGCTGCATGTAGACAAGTCAGTCTTAACAGTACTCAGTTATTCAGGTTAGATAATCCCCTGAATAATTAGAAACAGACCTTATCTCAGAAGTATTTGCATAACCATTTTATTCCTTTTTTTTTCTTAAAAAAAAAGGAAAGAACAACCTCATACTGAAACCTTTTCTTCTGTCTTTAGTTTTCTTTTTTGTTCCTGCCCCCCATTACTATGTATTGCTCAAACAGTCATAATAAATTCCTACTAACAGAGGAAAAAGGAAAGTTAACATAGACATTGGTTAGTCTGCCAAGCCATAACATGCATAACTTTTTAAAAGTTAGAATGACTGAATATGGTAACAGGAAAATATAATTATTTAATCAAGATTTACAATCTATGCTATTACTCAGACTGAAGGTGAGTGCCATGTCCTGCAGCGTCAGAGAGCATGCAAAGTAGAACTTTCAGTTTGCACTGAATTAGTCTAATTATGTAAAAACAATCTGCTTTTCTACTCACAAAGATCTAGACTCCCTCAAAAAAATCAAATGTAGAAAATGCAAGATCCACCACCCCCAGAAAAGCAGCTTATGTAACAGAAATTTCATGAGAGTACTTCCAAGTGTTCCCACAGATCTCTTTAGGGAAGAAAATCAGACGAAACAGTTATTATTGTGGTATATTTCCCTTCTTACTATACGTTAAAAATACATTTAATGCCCAATTAGTATACACAACTAAGGTTAACTATGACTGTGAAAGGATCTTACCAGGCTCTTTCTTCTCTCTCTTAGGTTTAGGGGGTTTAGCTGCTGTGACTGATGGATTCAGTGAGTCATCCCCACCACCCTCAGCTGGCACACCACTAAATTCTTCATCGAATTCCATTTTTATTGCTAAAGAATCAGTTTCACCCTAAAAATATTAAAAAGTTGGGCAAAATAAAATAAATTACACCTTTATATTTCAAGGTAGAACTGGAATAGTCTTGTAGAAGATAATAAATTAAAACAGACTAGTATATTGATATTTGCTGAACAGTACCAGGAAGAAGAAATCTGCATAGAAACATCTGAACAATAAGTAGTCACAAGAGGCTTGCAAATGTAAAAGAAATCCAGTATTAACTTCTTCATGCATTAAGTCAGCAAAACAGTATAAATACAGCATTAATGAGGTCTGGTGGTTTGGATTTATGCTACCAGAGTAGAAAAATATAGCAGTTAAATAATAAATAATCTAACTATAGCAATAGTTTTAGTTTACCTTTTTCTTTTTCAGCAATTTCCTACTGGCATCAGCTTTCATGGCAGATGTAATCTGTGGAACTATTCTTCTGCCAAATGGTGATGGCATGGTCTCTTCCAACTGAAGTTTCTTCATCTTGGGTTTACCAACTTTGCCTTTTATTGGTTTGCCCACCATGCCAGCCAAAACATCTTCTCTTTCCTGTGCTTCTACTTTCTAACAAACAAGTGGGGGGTGGGGGGAACACATTCTTTTTTAATGAGGACAAAGCAGAACATGGTGATTATTTAAGATTCATCTCCTTTTCACATGGAGCATAAGATTTCCCTTAATTTTCACTTGAATTGTAACACACTTTCTGATAATGGAAAAGCAACTACTTTGTCATTACCCTGTACAGTTAAAAACTACACTTTTAATCAAGGTTAAATAAATACAAACTTTTGGACACTGCTAGACTGAAAAAAAAAAAAAAAGCTTTCTTTTATCAAGTTTCTATTTCTCATGTACGTGTCTGGGTACTGATATAACTTTTCAGTATTTCAGTGTTTCATTTAAGCAGCTAGTTTCTAGAGTAATTTTTAAGGCACATTTTCCACTCCTTTAATCAGCTTTTCTCACAGTATGAACATACAGCTGAAATACAGACATCTGAACAGAATACTCCCAATTGCAGCTGCACCACAAACACACAGAGAAATAAAACTAACGTCTTCTTTGTACTATCTTGTGTCACTTCAAAATATTACATCAGCCTTTTTCAGGCAACATTGAAAGCTGAGGCTCAGCAAGTTGTCCAACAATAGGACTTTACTTTTTTCCAGAGTTACTAATGAGGCAAAATAAGTCTCTCATACAGTACTTACAGCCTATACACTTCACTCCTACACATACTGCTTTGCATTTGACAATACTTAATGCCTTACAACCAATTAGATCATGAAGAACTGCAATAATTATTCCTATTACCAGTTACTACTGCCAGGTTTTTTGTGTCATCTGAAAACAAATTTTCTCCTAGTACTTTTTCTTTTATCATCACAGACATTAAATTGTAAAGATGCAAGAGACAATCCCTCAGGAACACAACTAGGGACACACATACTCAATATAAATTTCCCACTCATTACTATATTGGGAGGTATATTTGCTTTTAATACAAAATATAGTAATTTTTATTATTTTCTGCTTAGATTTTAATACTTCTAATTAATGCTTTCAATTAAATTAAATTTAATATTTTTAGAAAGTTATGTAAAATAAAACATACTTCAAGCTCTTCAACAAAGGCTGCTAAATCTTCCTTCCAGAGATCTGAAGAAGATTTCCTTTTAAGGTCATTTAGTTCTCTCTCCTAAAACATGAAAGTAGAATGTAAGTTACTAAGTTACAACTAAAGTAAATACTATAGAAACTGAACATTCACAATTAGACAGATCAGTAATTACTACACCATTTCAGAAGAAACCTTCCATGGTTTACTAACCTTTGAATCCCTCTGCTTAATTAACTCTTCTACTTTCTCTTTCGTGAGTGACCACAGTGACATGTTTAAGATATAATTAAAGTCAGGGCCAGAAGTTGAGCCGGAAGCAGAAGAAGCATCATCATTTGGGTTCTGTGGATCCTCCTCTTCTGCTGCCTGAAGTAAAACACTCACAATTGCAAGTATTCATCATCTTAGCTCTATGCATGAACTGTAACACTGCTCCAAAGCACCATCACAGAATAGTAAGGTGTGTCCTCACAGATTCAGTAACCTTAACATCTTTCTGGACCTTTCCAGAAGGCCATGTTCCTGTGGCCTTCTATAGTGGGATTATTTAATCATTTGATCTAAGAAAACAAATCTGAACTTGATGCCAGCCATATGCCTTGTATGCTATTGCCTACAGACAGCGGTACCGTCCTAGCTATCTCACAGAGTTGAGACCTTTGCCCTTGGGATAATTCATGTATATCTGTTTCTTTAGAATTGAGAACAGTCTTTTGGATAAAAACTGCTATCAAAGCCCTGAATGTAAAAACTGTGGTTTGGAAGTGGATCAAAATTTATCATCATAATAGTTTTGTTATAAAATACAACACACTGCATGGAGCAAAGCAAATGAGAAATTAAAACAAATAGCAAAAGCAGTGGCAATGGCACAGGAAAGGGGTGGCTGACAGAAATTTAAAGTTGCTTTTCAAAATAGTTTAATCTTCCCATAGTAAAGCATGAAATTAAACTTGGCACCTATCTCTTTTGGAAAAACAAAAAAATCTCTTTGAGTTTTAAAAAAGCAGAAATAAATATAGGTCAAGGTCAAATTTACTAAAGTAAGTTCAAAAGTCAAAGCTTCGTAATATTCATGGTTCAGTACAGAAAACTGATGAATAAGTTACATATAAATAATTACATTTTGCAATCATGCGACAAGTAAATAATAAGGGGAAAATCAGTTATATGTGTGGGGTCACTGACACAGCATTTTATGTGTCAGTCAGAAATCAAGTTGCCAGTTTTGATTTGGGTACATGAAGAAATTCAGTCCTCTGCATTCTCATTTTCAGACTTGTATTATCTAGTTTTCTTCTAAGAATTATCCATATACGATATCAATACCATGCGACAATATTTTTGTACAAATTTTATGTATTTTTAAAAATGGAAGTCAATAAGGAGTAAAGAATAATCTTTTTGAAGTGTTAAGTGTGTTATAAATTCTGATAGACTACCAGAAAACAAACATCTGAATAAATTAATATCATTTATAACATTAACAGCATCAATTACATCCAGAGATTTCATGTTACCTTTTCCTGTGCTTCTTTCCAGGCTTTTACTGGATCAGATTCATAACCTCGCTGGACCAACATCTGAATCAAATCTCTTTTTGATCTGTTCTCTATAAAATACACAAACACAACCACGGTAAAAATAATAAAATAAAATAAAATAAAATA